ATGATAGGCGAGCTACCAAGCTCGAGAAAGTGCATTAAGAGAGCGAGAGGGTCTTGAGAAGCAAATCGAAACCTTGAAGTGCACTGCGGAGGCTAAGGCACAGTGACTAGAGCGAAGAGAGCCAAGAAGCTGCATCAATTGAAGCCCTCAAGCAGGCCGAAGACCGACATACTCAACAGTTGAAGGATTTGTACCTTGTCACTAAGAAGAAAAGAAGGGCCCTCGCTTTGCAAGAGAGGAGTGCCCCATACTAGAAGGAATCCCAGTTGCACCAGTGGAAAGAATCCAGCGGCGATTGTGCATGGGCCACTGTGTCTTCCCGGCTAAAGCCTCGCATAAGCAAATTCTAATAAAGAGTCGGTGATCAAGGGGTCCTTGCACCCACTCGACCATTGCCGAGGGGATGTTGCTGCTCTCATGCCATCCTTCCAAAGTGTTCCTCGGTGAAGCATGATCCGAGTGGCCACATCGCCTCTCGGGGAATGAATCTATCTGGTCCAAATGTATCCCCTTAAGGGTTATTGTACAAGTAATAAAATGTACCCATAGTGTAGTGCATTTGATGTCCGCCTAATATGTAGTCCAGCAGTATTGTAATGCTTTGGCACTATTAGAGTTACTGTTTGAGCCCCCCACTTGATAGTTTTGTGTAGGCGTCTTCCTTTGTGGAGAATGATGTAATTGGTACTCTTTCCACCTATAGCATAGTCACACCTAATGTTGTGTGTTGAATTTGTGTGTTAATTGTTTGAGTCCAACTCCATCAATCGTTTTTTCCAATAAGATGGTACTAATTTATTGCCCTAAAATAGGCATCATTTAGTGCCAACCAACACTCTAAGTTCCTTTACAACTCCATATTTTCCCAACACTTAGTGTACCAAGTAGGTCAGTTTTTTACCAAGATGCTACAAAATGTGTTGCATATCTTTGCTTGCCATGTTTCCTAAGATTTTGCATACCAAACACATCGCCTACAACGAAGCGTTGGCAGCAATGGCCATGCCATATTTTGTTTTCCCCTTTTTGAGGATTTGAACTACAAAATCTCAAAATGTCCTAGTTGCCAACATAAATCGTAGGATTCTTATTGCATGCTTCTTGATTACATGGGCAGCTAGGGCTTCCCATATGGTAACGGGCGCATTACAAGGATATACAGTATTATTGCACCCACTAGAGGAGGGATTAGGAAGGCAAAGATGGTGATGGCGAGTTCTTCTTCATCTAGGCACATGTTGAGCGTATCCACTTCTTCCTTCCCGCAGTGTACTCCACCTTCTTGTTGATGTCTTCTTAGGTGCTCTATGGCTTGCAACCCTTACGCTAGGCTTCTTCTTCAATTGTTGGAACTGGTTAAAACTTCATGTCTTTATGTGGGTGATTAGTGTTGATGGTAGGGTGTCTTGCGGTGATCGAAGAGGCAGCCGAGGGGGCGTTTTATAGGAGCTTGATGGCAGGGCCAAGGGATCGGGTGCGTGCCATCAACGGCGCCACTAACTGGCATCATTTTGAAGGAACTGGCTTCATGGAGGGGACAACAGCACCATCCTTTTTAGGCACGGAGGTCATGACTCAAGCGCTGCCACATAGCAGTGCTGTGGAATGCAGAAGGTACAACTGTGTGGTGCATAGAGGACGGCGCCATTGGCGGCCTTGTGGGGGACAAAGGTGATGGCTCGAGCGGCGTCGTGGGCCGGTGGTGCGCGTGGTGTTGTGTGGAGAGGGGACATTGGCGTCTGCAGAGACGATGACACTAGTGTGTGGGGAAGGATCGTGGATGCATGGATAACAACTGCGTGCGCGGCATCCACGGCTTTCATATGCCACCATCTATGCACTTTAGCTGGCTTTATACTGTGGCTTGGTGCGCCGCGTCCGCCGTAATTCATGCCTATCATGGACCACGTCTTTCTACTCTTTTTCTGCGGCTTTGGTCGGTCCTTCGCTCTGCACCCATGCCAGACCCCCTTTTCTTGGGTCAGGCAAACCCTGTTGCTAGGCCCCACCTATCAACTTTTTCTGACCACGCGCTACAGACACATGGTGCACCCCACTTTTTCGCTATAGCCCCACTATAGGCAGGTGAAGCTTCTCGGAGAAGCCTTGCCCTAGCCCTCTACAAAATGAGAACCACCCCGGCTACCTTTCCCAAGCATCCCCCCTCATTGAACCACCTCACCAAAGTTCCTTCCTCCTTGACCAAAGCCCATGGCCTCATCGAAGCCACTGTGCCCTTGCCTTCAACCCACAAACCCTCCTAGCCAACCCGCAGGGATGGCTGAAGGAGTCTGGACTAGCAACACCTGCCAAGGCATAAAGGGATTTCCCAAGATTCTGTATACCACCACGCAGTGGCTGGGAATCCGAGAGGTCCCCGTGTATGAAGGTCGTGAGTTCATAGAGCATGACACTGAGCGGTGTGAGGTCATCGTCTACATCGGGAAAAGTGAGAACTCCACCAGCATTGATGGCTGGAGCACGACCACCATTGGTTTTCGTTTCCCTGATGCCTATCAAGCGGTAGCTCGCAAAGCTCTGCGACTCCTATGCCAAATCTATGCAGGACCCCTCGCCCATACCCCCATGAGGTTCTTTCCGCCTTCGGACAAGGACACTCCATTCTGGAGGACACGCCTAGAGGCTCTGCAAGGACGCCCTCTGCAAGCAATCGACCCTACTGTGGTGTCCCTAGCCACATATCTGTTGGCCTTGGATGAGCACCATGAGAAGCTGGCCTCTGAGTTGAGGAAGTGCGTCGCTCGAGCCGAAGGGGCGGAGGCCTTCATCAGGAAGCTCCATGTGAGCCTTGCCATGGCTCGCGCCGAAACAGCCGCCGCCGAAAGCCGTGAGACTGTCACCGCTGAAGCCATGTGGGAAGCGGGGAACCGCTACGCCAAGCAGCTAAGAGAAGCTTACCTTGTCACTCGAGACCAACGGAGGATGTCTGCCTTAGACGGGCAACACCCCTCGATTCCGAGGGGGATACCCATCTATCCGTGGGAGAGGGAGAGCAGTGTGGCAGCGCCTCAAGCACCACCACCCACTCCCATAGAGGCCTCTGAAGTGGAGTCTCCCCTTCCATGCACACAGCCCAAGCCTGCCAGAGAATTTCAAGAGAGCAGCCGTGAAGCCATCTGTCTCGAGGAAGTAGATTAGTTGCTCCCCTAGAGTTGTATCTTTTCTGTTTCTTTGTGTTGTTGAGTTTTAGCGATGTCGTATCCTGCTGTTATGTCGTCCTGCTTTGTATTCTGCAATTGTGCCCTTGAATGAACTACTCCCCTTGTGTTGGTGTGCCTTTGTGTTTTTTTAAAAAAAAAGCCACATTCAAAACAAACCAATGCTAACTACCTGTGAACATACAAAAGAAATGGAATCCCAAGTCCATTGTAGTTGTTGCTCAAAAGAAATAAAGTGCATAACAAATTATCGTAAAAACATAAAAATGGTAAGCACGTATTTGGTGTGAAATAAATCTACAATGACAGTAATAAAGACATATTTCTTAAGTTGGTCACCCGCAGCGAAGCGCGGGCAAAAGTGGCTAGTATAGGATGGAGGCCGGTCGTGAGTCGTCCCTCATCAACAGCAACGTTAACTTTGTTTTTTCCAGGTTTTCGAAGGCTTCATCAAGCAGCAGTTGCCTGTCCCATTCTTCATGAAAATCATCACTAATGTTATGTGTTGGAGGATATGCATGGTTGGATGGTCCATAAGAAACAACTACTTCTTCAGAAACATGCAGGTTGCCTTTGATAGTCCGATGCAATTCGATCTTCAGAAGTAGGGTATCATCCACCTTGCAAAACAGTCCTGCTTCCCTTTAATTGAAGAATTAATGGTTACAAAACTTCGTGTAATTCTCCTAGTTCTATTTATTTCTCGGACAAGACCTCGTTTAATTTCTCAGTAAGCTGAAGAACTCTTTCAAGTGCTCAGATCATCAGGTGGTTTCATGCAAGAGTTCCAGGCCAGATTGCAGATACGCAGTACAGTAATCTCCAATATGGACATGAGAAAACTACTACCACCAATGGCTCATCAACTGCCACGGCTTATAGTCTAATTAAGAAGAAGGTTCGTGTGGATAATACCAGCCACAGAGATTTCTAAGGCTCATGACTTTTCAGTGAAACCAATTAACGACCCAAATGTTTACATACATGGGCTGTTTCTTTCAGATTCTTTGCTGCTGAAAACGGCTCTGAATGAGAACTGTTCGCGTCCGTTATTAATTCAGATGACAGATATGTGGATGAGAAGGAAGGACTGATCTGATGTTGCCTCAAGTGACATGCACCCACAGCAACTCCTAATGAGAAGGGGGCTTGACAGCCGTTTGCCGTGAAACATTCGTATGGGTGACACTGACATGATGCATGGTGCATCTGTCAGCAAGAACGGCAGCCTATAAGTGGATGGCATCAGTTCCAGTTTTCCACGCTGATGAATTGACGGCTACATGTATATATGTAGACAAAGATACGCGTGTGCGTACACGCCCAGCAATTAAGATAGGAGTATGGTTGTCCATCTGCTACGTTGATCGGCGAAATAAGATTAGCAAATAATCTCCGGAAACAACAGTACCTGTGGCATGCAACTTCCGATGTCCACTTCACCTAGTGTGCGCATGCAAGGCCTTCAGATTCCCCGCACCTCTGGGCACACGAATACCTCCAAGAGGTTTTGCTAAGCCAGGCATCGCGACGTACCAGCATTTAGTATGTAGGTTGACATACTTATCATGCCAGGTCTCTTCCTTATACATATATTATAGTATGTAGGCTGACATGTGCACGTACAATGCCGTACACTCACTCTTGAGTCTATGAAGGATGTAATCACGATCAAATCTTAAGCCACCAAGGCGAAGTTACTGTAGATGCTTAAGTTATTTGATGATGGTCTTTGGCAGCATGACAATCCATGTTGATCTAATATCTAGTGTTTGGAGCTGCCTCATGCTACCCACAGAGTCTGGAAGGTGATAGATACCATTACAACCTCTTAGAAAGATACCTTAGGTGAACAAGCTTCCCAATATGCTCAAGGTGATGATTGCATAAACCCCTAGTGTCTTGCAGGTCCAAAACTCGCAGGAACCTCATCTTATCAGAAATGAGAAACGGCTTCCATTTTCTAAACACTGTTAATGACCGTATACGAGAGACGTCCACCATGCTCTCAAAATCAGCCTGGTCTCCCTTCCAATTGGCACTTATACTAAGGTGGCGTGCCATCCCATTTGTGTTTGAGTTGCAACCTTCTTCTAGCCTGAATATAAGATTTTCCTCTACTGCTTTTGAGATGCTGATTTCACGCATGAGATCGTGGACTTGGCAAGAGTCAATTACTTTTTGGCTGAAATATGTTGATTTATTTGGTAGTTTCATGCTCCTGTCAATGAGTTCCATGAAGTGGCTCTCAGCTATTTCTTCAACAGATTTACCAAGCACCTCTGTCGAGTAACCCTCAGCAATCCACCGGCGCACCAAGCGGTTTCGTTTAATATCTTGGTCTTCAGGAAAGATAGACAGATATAAGAAACAAGGCTTCAGATGATAAGGTAAACCATCGTAGCTCTTATTAAGGACATTTTTAATATTTCTGAGCCCTTGATTCATTTCCAACTCAGCACTAATATGTGAGTTCAATTTTTTCCACTCCATAGGAGTTTTTGGTTGCTTTGCTAAGAAGCCACCTATGGTCACTATTGCAAGAGGAAGTCCTTTGCACTTCTTCATAATCAATTCAGCCACCTCGTACAACTCATCAGGGCACTCCTCATTTAAATTTGTAATCTTCCCAAATACCTGAAATCGATTCAGATTTCAGCATATAAAAGAATTATTGAGGGATACATACTAATTTATTTTTTTCCTTAAAGTGATTACTGTACAATGTTTTTTTTTGCCCTTAAAGGTAAATGTCTGTATTATATTATTTGAGACACATGATAAACTATTCCCAAAATACTTGAACATAGGTAAACTGCATAATTAATAAGTTGCTTGTACACATAGACTTGAAAAATATAGGTCCTTTCAAGCTAGGTTATGTTTTTTTTTCAAAAAATTAAATATATATACTGTTTAGCTGTTGGTCTGGTTCCTTTTACAACGCCGTATGTTTCATATAAACCATTCCTGTCAGGACCATGTCTGTCAGTTGCCTTAGACCCACCATAAGTCAGACGTCACCCTATAAAATGCATATTCTTTGTTATGTAGAACAAATTATATAATATCAAAGTTTCTGCCATGATCACTGCTAATTAAGAACCAGAGAAAAGTTTATCATGTACTGCTTGCTTGCTCATAGCTGGGCAACTGGCATCATATCAAGCAGATTTTTGAACTGAACATGATTAAATTACACAAACTGGAAGGGATAGTCGAATCTAGAAATGATGTATTTTCCCTAAAAGTAAAACAACATCACTTAAGTGTCCCCGCGTGAAGCCTCATTAGTAACCATCCCATCTAACGCCTAATAGTCCACAGTCTGTCAAGTCCAGATTACAAAATGTACTGCTGTGTGCGTCTTATATGCTATTTGTGGTGATGATAATGATGGTATGTGTTGGTGGACACACTCGGGCACTCGGCATACATAAATGTTTGGGAAAAGATTGAAACAAATAAAAGTAAATAACTCCAGTTACCATAGAGTCTAGAGATATATGCTTTGTACCTCGATTATGTGCCATGATTATCCATGAGGAAACGTTATCAGTTAGACTCCTTTAGTTAATTTTGCTCTCTTCTGTTATTCTTCAACTACTCGAAATGGGATTTTCGATTATGTGCCATGATTATTCATATGAAGAATTCTTTGTACGTAACAAGCTACTACTCCTACTAGTTAATTATTTCAATATATATAAATCAGTTGGAGCAAGTAGTTAGTAGTGTATGACAACATTGACTGGTGAGAGAAAGATGAAAGAACCGGATGATTCACAAATAGCAATTCCAAACCGTTTTTTATGACTATTATAATTAAGCTAAAAATACCTTCTCCGTGAAGAGGTCATGTGCGTCTAGGATTTTGAGCTCCATGATATGTGTCGTCTTCAATGAACAATGCCTTGCAATTTCATTTAACCTTGTGGTGACTATGATCCGGCTTTCTGTTACCATTCTAGGGAAATGACTCTGTATATCATCCCATTCTTTGGTGGTCGATAAATCATCAAGAAAAATCAAGTATTTTTTCCATCTAAAATGTCATGGTTCCATTGCTTCTCACCACTCAGTTGCTCGGCCAAACTATTGAGAACTTCTGTAGGATTGAAAGGCCGCTTTACTGTGACACAAGCACGCTTGTCAAACATAGCGTTGAGCTCTTGGCTGAAAAAAAGTTCTTTGAAATATTATGTTTCCTACTGATGTTCTTGCTATCTATCTTTGATCGTTGCTATATTCCAGGAGATATTGCTACGTGATTGTCGGTGCAGAAAGTGACCAACAAGTAAATATTTATAGTTTTGCCGTACGCTGTGATCAGAGGTGGCCTAGCACTCAATGACACTGGGTTTATACTGGTTCAGGCAACGTGCCCTACGTCCAGTTTGAGTCGGTCGGTGACTTTATTCCTGAGCCCAGGTGCTCGAAGTTTACAGTGGAGTTATAAACGAGAAGGAGAAAGATGGGGGTACAAGAGGTCCGGTCGGCTCCGGTCAGAAGGGCCTAGAGCGACAGGAGCTTCGCTACGAGCTAAGTGTTCAAGCGTGTGCTTAAGATCTGAACCTGACGGTTCTGTGGTTGTGAGCTAGTGAACTTGATCGATCTAATGAATCTGGAAGCACTTGAATCGACTTGGATCAACTGAGTCTCTTGGGAGAGAGTGCATCCCCTTTTATAGATGAAGGAGATGGCTTTACAAGTGAGAGGGAGAGAGTACGTATGCTTCTGAACCTTGTTGCCCACGCCGGCGGGTATAGGATGATGGTAGGCGCCCACAATACTGTTGGATGTCAGATGCACATGGGAGGCTGCGTCGTTTTGTTTGGGTATGGCAGATGTCGATACCTGCTATATTGTTGATGCCCAGAGGCATGTGAGGAGTTTCACCATATTCACTCGGTACGGTAAATGCCAGCGTCCACAATACTGTCGATGCCCAGAGGCATGTGGGGGGCCTTACCGTATGAGAGTTGATGGCGCCCACAATACTGTAGGGAAAATGTCGGCGCCTACAACACTGTTTGTGTCAGGGAGGTTGCAGAGTACTGTTTCTGCAGGTGTACAGGGTACGGTCCCTGGTATCGTGGTTTGACTTGTAGGCCTTGCCTTGCTTTCCCTGTTCGTTCCCTGGTCCTTTCCGAGCGGGCGTCCCCGGTCGGTTGGTTCTAGTTGGCTCTGGTTGCGCCAGTCGGAGAAGGGTAGTGAGCTGGGGTTTTTGCGTACCCCGGTCGGAGACATGGGGTCGGAGTCGGAGGTAGTGCTTTGGCCAGGCCTTCCGGTCGGAGAGGCCGTCCGGAGGTGGGCTGGAGACCGAAGTGAGCCCTCCGGTCGGAAAGATGGGCCGGAGTCGGAAAACGGGCATCGCTCCTCCTCGGCCAGACCTTCCGGTTGGTGATTGGATCGCCCTTCTGGCCTGTTTGTTCGGATACTCGGGCTGGCCCATGAGTTGTTCGTTGTCTGCTTGGGCCGAGCTTTTATTGGGAAGCCGGTCTGTGAGGGACCCCTGGTTTATGAACCTGACAGGAGCCCCCGAGCCCCCTAGGCGATTCAAGCAGAATCGTCTGGGTGATTTTTTGTCTTGACGGTGGGTGCGCGCGAGCGCACCCGCGGGTGTAGCCCCCGAGCCCCCGGGTGATTCGGGCAGAATCGTCCGGGGGGTGTTTGTTAGCGGGCATGCGTGTGTGTTTTTTAGTTGAGACAGAATTGTTAACCAAGGCATCGTTGCGCAGCCGAGGCGTTTAGTTTTGGGATCGGGCGAGGTAGAGCTTGTGGGTCCTGGCGTTGGTGCACGTCGTGGGATCGGGCGAGGCAGTTAGTTTAGGGATCGGACGAGACAGAGCTCGCGGGTCCTGGCGTTGGTGCGCACCGTGGGATTGGGCGAGTCAGAGTCGTGGATCCTGGCCTTGGTGCCGCCCGCGCAGCCGAGGTAGTTAGTTAGTTAGTTTAGGGATCGGTTGAGACGGAGCTCGCTGATCTTGGCGTCGGTGCACGCCATGGGATCGGGCGAGTCGGAGTCATGGATCCCGATGGGGCGAGTTCGGGGTCGCAGACCCAGGTAGTTTTGGAGTGCAGTCGAAGCGTAGCCGGATGGGGCGAGTTCAGGGTCGCAAACCCAGGTAGTTTTGGAGTGCAGTCGAAGCGTAGCCGGATGGGGAGAGTTCGGGGTCGCAGACACAAGCGTTTTGTGTCTTGAGCCCCCGAGCCCTGTTGGGCTTTGGTAGGGGGCGGTTTGAGTTGTGTGCGTTACCCCATCCTCGGTTTCTCACAACCGAAGGGGCTGAGTTTTGTCCCTTGTCCCGATCGCTCGGGCTCGAGTGACACGCTCGGTGAGTTCGCTAACGGGTATGATCGAGTGGAATCCGGGTCCGTCATTCATGACGAGGTCGGCATAGCCCTCTTGTGACATTCCACTGCTCCTTTACCTGCAACCCGGCAAATGCCTGGGTCGTTCCATAGACCGACCCAGGTGGCTTGACGGCCTCCCCTCGATGGAGATTCTATGGGCTTGGCAGAGGCTTAGGATAGAATGAGAAGGTTGAGATGACCCTGTTTGCCAGACTGGGTGAGGGTGCATGGGGCTCATCTGCGTTTTTCTCCCCTGGCTCTGTTTGACGTGGGGTGGCCTCAAGCCCTTCGTGGGCCGGCCTTCGTACTCCAGTCGGTCGTTGCTCATGTGGAATGAGGCAACTGCTACTTCGTGACGCAACACAGAGCGTTGTGATGCATTTCGCTGCATGTGCAATGCTAAGTTCCCGAGCCCCCGGGCGGTTCAGGGCCCGAATCATCTAGGGGGAACGGACATATGGAATGAATGCACATATGGATGTATGAAATGATTTATAAAGAAATAGTGGGGGTTAGTAGTGTTACCTTGATGACTCAAGTGACGGGGTTTGGAGAGCTCTAGTTGGAAATGTCCGACCGGGACCCGTGCTTGTCATTCGTGACAGAGTCGGCATGGCCTACATGTGGCGTCCCTTCGCTCCCTACCTGTCTCTCGGTGTGTTTTTCTGAGTCGTTTGATCGACTTTTAGGAAGTCCGATGATCTCTCCTGGCGGAGGTCCTGTTTTTGGGTTTTTCCAAGTCCCGCCTGGGGAAGTGGAGGGCCGCCTGCATGCGGTGGCACCTTGGTTCTTGTGCCTATCGTGTGGTAGTGGTTGGCATGCGGTAGTGGTGGGCCATACCTAGGCCACGTCCTGTCTGATCAGGAGCCGTTTCATCGGGCAGGGCGCGTCTCATCGGTCAGGGCGCGTCTCATCTACATTAAATGGGAAAGAGTTTTTTGCTCTGATCTTTTGCCCCTCTTCGGCTATCGCATTTCTTCCTTAAATAGGGGGAGGGAGAGGGCTCTCCGTCATAGTCCTTTGCCTGTTCTCCAACTATTGTCTCTCCTCCTCCTTCCTCCTTACCGAGAGTGCCTGTATGCCGCGATGGTTCCTAAGTGAGAGATTGGATGAGCGAGGGGGAGGACTTATAGATCCTTTCATGAATCTAGAGCGCGATGTCGAGCTAGAGGCTGCCTGGGGCGGTGCTGGCCGTCTTTGCCTGAGAAGGGGTGGCTTCCGCCAAAGGGGGTGGAGTGCTGGATTCATCTACGAGGCCTTCTTCGGGATGGAGCCGTGTGTGGGCTTCGTCTAGTGGATCTTCACCGGGCCAGCCTTGTCGGAGGGGAAGTCACTCAGGATCATGCTGGTGGGGGGTTCTGTGCCTGCAGCTGCTCAGGTTGGCCAGTTCATAAAGTTTGATGAAATCTCTTCTAGCCATGGCGGCCATACCTCGGTAGCGGCGTCCCTGCCCAGGAGCTGCCTCGACTGCATGAGAAGGTTAGGAGCTCCATGCTCTTCTGCTGAGAATCTATGAGTGCGACGCCCTTGAGGTACCCGTTGCGTTCACCAGAGTCGAGGGGATGGAACCAGGCAGGTCCCTTGAGGTACCCGTTGCGCTCGCCGAAGTCGAGGGAACAGAACCGGGCGGGTCCCTTGAGGTACCCGTTGCGCTCGCCAAAGTCGAGGGGACGAAACCAGGCGGGGCCCCTGTAGCGGTGGCTATGTCCGGCGGCGTGTGCCGTGGTCTCTCCTTTGGCGTCCAGGCGATGTCGTCGAGCGGCCGTAGTAGTATTTGGAGTAGTAGTAGAAAATGTAATAGTTGAGTTCGTGGGTGAGTCCCCGTGTGAATAGTTTTTTGTATCAATGAATACATCAGTGCTGCTTTTGTGATAGAATCATTATCCGTTCCTTGTTTTTATCCTAGCATAGCTATTGTTTTTGTCCTTTCTTCTTCGCACCTGCCCATTAGTTCCGTAGGCTGCAACATTTTTAAGAGCCTGGGCATAGCCCGCGGGGCTCGGCTGTTCGTAACCGTAGGTCATGGCGGGGTGCGTTCGGTTAGGAGTAAGAACAAAGTTACGTAGGACAATCAAAGGAAAAGGAAAGCGCTTCCGTTCGGGGATGAAGCTGTTTACCATGTGATAGTTAAAAATAGAGTAAAAAGAACGGTAGTATTCAGTATTGTACCCTCATG